TGATAAGAAAACTCTCATCATTTAGTATTTTCTTTGTACACAAATGTATGCCAGGTTTGTTTGTATTCATGCTTATACATTCCTATATGAAAAGTAGGTGCACTTAAAAAGCTGCACCACTTGTCTCCAGAATGGGTAGAATCTTTTAAATCTGTGCAGCTCTTAAATGTTCTGGCTGTATAGGCTGTGTGTATTTCAACCCCAGTTCTGCTACAAGATAACATCTGAATATTGTCACCTGTGTGGTGTTTTGGTAGTTCAGATAGTGTGTTCAGATAGTTCAAACTGTACAATGTAGAAACCCCAGGCAATCTGTTTCGGGGTGTCCTGTCCAAATAAAGCAGACTAGTGCAAAAGCCTATTTTTAAACCATGTATTTCATGCCCAACAACCCCCCCAGACTAATAGTATGCATATATTCCTTACATGAAAAACATGCCTACAGCTAGTTTGTTGCTTCACGTGCCAGGATTTTTTCAACTCTAACCCAGGACAGGCATTCATCACTTTCTCATAATTTCGGCCATACAAGTTAACCTTTTTACTCGGCTGTCATGGCCCTTTGTGAAGACATGAACAAGTCTTTATCTAGTTTTAAGTTTCAAGTTGTAAGGACACTAGATTCCATTCCAAAATTCCTGCAACGTTTAGAAGTTGGGCTCCATGCATCTAAGTGAGTGCTGGGATAGCTTTAATTTGATCATCTAGCATTTTTTTTTTTTTTTTTGTTCCTCCTGGAAAACAAACTGGCCAGTGCTGCCCCTACAGGTCTAGGTCAGTACTGTTCATGGATCTCTTGGACATGAACTGAGATAAACTAGAATAGAGACCAAACTAGCTAAATCTCTTAACTTTCTATTTAGCTCAGGGGCTGGTAATCTACAGCTCATGAGCCAGATCCAGCCCAGAGTCAGAGGACTTCACTAGCATTCAGCAGTGGGCAGCTTTGCCCACACTGCAACTGCAACCAAGTAACCAGGAGCTTTCTGCTGTACCTCAACGAGGTAGCAAGGAGAAGTTACAGTGGCATCCAGGTCCTAGAACTGGCCCACCTAAGACCCAAGTTAGGTCATTCTTACCCACTGCTGGGAAAACCTTGCAGACTGCTGGTTTAGATCATGGGATATTTGACCAGAGTGTAGAGTACCTTGCTGCACTCCAGCAAAATGTTCATAACGAAATGTTATACCTAAAAACAGAGAGAGTTTTCTCTTTAGTAGCAGATAACAGCGTATCTCCATACTGTGTCTGTATTTAATCTATAAAAAGAATCCAATTTAGTATATCTAAAATATCTTATCTTCATGCATCTGAAGTTACCTATCTGCAGTCTTTGGATGGATCTGCCCATCTATTGTCCACTGAAACTCTGCACCCATTTAACTGGTTAAAGACAATATCCTTAATCAAAATTACAGCTTCAAGTAGGGTGAGTGAATTGTGATCGTTTAAATTATTTGTAAGCAAAATTCACAATCTCCATCTAAACCAGACCATTTCATATACCGCTTTTTTATAAATCATTTTAACTTCAGTAGTGAGCCCTAGCTGTTGAGAAGGCTTTCTGATTGGATAGATGAGCCCCCAAAAATGTCAATACTTTTGTAAGTCAGTGAAAGGCTGAGCAACATTATTTGAATGACCCATGTGTTGTAGCTATGTAGTTTTCCTCTTGTCCCTTTTTGGCGAGCAAGTTGTGCTTGGGGTTTTTTGTTAGATGTAAATCAAAGGCACTTGGCACCAAATCCAGATCATTTTTTCGTAGAGGCTTAAAGAAGACTTTGATTGGTTCTAGCCACTTAAGTCACTTGAAACTGGTCCAGATCAGCCACTTAGGCTATGTTGTGATTTAGGTCAGTGCCAGGAGGTACTTGAAGCCTGTCTTAAAACCAGAAATCCCATGTGGCCACTGAATACATTGTGATATGCCACCAGAGTACATGCCACCAGAGTACACTACAAACCTGTAGGGAGTGATGGTTGTGGTGTCCACTTTGTTCTAATAGGCTAGTGGCTAGAACCCCTGCCTAGAAAGTGGAGAACTTTAAGTTATAATTTCTTGTTATCTTGAGAAGATTAAAACCTGCATCTGACTCTGTACTCCTGTGATGAGGACACTCACCTGTGAAGGAGGAAAATCTGGGTTATAGTTACTGTTCCCATAGTTATTTCACTTTTTTGGGGGGGGGTTTTCCAGCTAATAACTGTCTAATGCAAAATAGATAGACAGTCCCAGAGCCCAGGTTATCTTATTCCCTAGGCAGTACTACCACTGCTGGGCTACTGAGTCAGGATTCCTTTTGCATCTTTTTCTGGCCCCATGATTCTTGCACTCTTGGCTGCTAGTGGTTCAGCTAAGCAGGAGGAGTGGAAGGAGCTCCTATCTATGCTAACCTATAGTCCAACAGCTAGGGTACAAGAGTTTCAGTCTCTTCAAGCTTAGGAAGGCCTAAAACCCAGGTTTCCCACTTCTGGACTTGTGATCTTAACTGTATATTAACTGAGAGATGAGCATTGTCACCAATCTAGCTGGGGTCATTTAGACCCAGCACTCTTTCCTGCTTATGCAGGGGGTCGGACTCAATGATCTATTGAGGTCCCTTCCGACCCTAACATCTATGAAACTCTCTCTTGAAAATATGGGGTGTAGTGCTCTATACTAAACTCAGTTTTGTTGTCACTGTATGTATCTGCATCTGAAAACCTTTGAACTGATTGAAAGAATTAAAGAAAGATCAATGACCTGGTGCAGTAATGTTACTAAATAACACTTTTGTGGTGGAATAGTCTTTAAGTGGGACCATTCATCTTGTCTGGTACTTTCTTGGGAACAGGAGTTCAGCAGTACTTTTTAAATTGGTATTAGGCCTTCTTGCCAAGACTTTGTATTCCTGGTTTCACATGAGGAATATCCAGAGGCCATGTGTAGCTGAAGAAGAATTTATTTTGCACTTCACCTGCCTCCCTTGTCTTCCTTGTAACTGTGTTGTCTAAAACATGGGTGTCAACCCTAACCCTCTTCTTCCCCACCCAAACGAGAACCAGATGCCATACCTGCAGTGGCCATGAGGATTAACATGGCTGTTGCTTCCCCACCCCGCTGTTGACACACACTGCCAACAGGGATCTGTGCCCCAGATTTCAGTGGTAAGCTCTAGCCTCTTGACAAGCCCCAAGTATCTTCTCTTTCAGTTAATGTAATTTACTGAAATTTTCCATATCCCTTTAACTTCTCTTGAATTAAAAGTTTAGAGTAGCACAGAAATTAAATACAGTCTTTACAATTTGACTCATTTTCTTCCTTCAAAATATTTTAAATGCAGCCCTCTCTTCTTGACCTGGGGCAGGATCAGTCAGGGTAAAATTAAATTTTAAGGCACCGTGGGTGTATAATTAAAGAGCAATGTTTGGTTTTATATGGGTAAACCTTTACATATCCACTTCTAAACTGGAGTGTTTGTACTCATTAGCATACATAAAGAGTGCAGGTGTTAAAGCGAATATCTGTCTTTTAGGTATTGTCCAAATTGTAAAGAACATCAACAAGCAACCAAAAAGTTAGATTTGTGGTCGTTGCCTCCAGTTCTGGTAGTGCATCTAAAGCGCTTTTCTTACAGCAGATACATGAGGGACAAGTTGGATACGTTGGTTGATTTTCCAATAAAGTAAGAAAAAAATGTAATTATTTCACTTCTGGCTTTCGCTTTCCTAACATGTCTAAAATATGCATTTAAACTCATAGTTATACAATAGGTTTCTGCTTCATTTGTAAGTATGTTGGTTCCATTTATAGATCTAGGAAACAGCTCAGTGCAGACTGTGGGTGGGAGACGAAGTAGCGTGTAACAAGTGAGATGCTGATACGTACTCTATTTCACAGGTGCAAAGTTACTGTAATTGTTCAAATTATTTGTATACAAAAATGACAGGCAAGATGCTGACATGTAGATATGAAAAGTAAATTCCCTAAATGGCATTGGCATTAGCAAGGGGTTTTGCAAAGAAGTGAGAGACTTCTGTAGCTATCCAATTCAGGTGGATATTTTATATTATTCTTTTTATATAAATGTGAAGAGAAAGGGTTGTATATGTGCACATGTTCAGAGTATTCCCATATCAGCTCTTACTATGAGGAAATGCATAGCAAAATTGTATCAAATTGTGAGAGTGCAGTTGTTGCCCCATATGAATTTTTGTACCACTTGCTCCGATATAAATCCAAGAGCCCAAAGGAACAAAAATGTTAAGCAGCTGCTAAGGAAAAACATTATAATGCTGATTTTTTTTTTCTTTATTTTTAAACAGTGACTTGGATATGTCAGAATTCCTTATTAATCCAAATGCAGGGCCTTGCCGCTATAATTTGATTGCTGTGTCCAACCACTATGGAGGAATGGGAGGAGGGCATTGTAAGTTAATTTTAACTACCATCATGTTATTCTGTGGATGCATTTACACATTCATTAAATGTGCTGTAATTACAGCGCATTAGGCTTAGTACTGGTAATGACAGGCACTAACTTAATGCACTGTAATCAGAGCTACTGTGCATTAGCTCAGGCGGTTTTTATGTGATGCCATTGCAAAGTAGTTTAATTCTACTGCACATTAGCACTCTTTTCGTCAGCCACTCTAATGCACAGTAGAATTGGCGTACTGCAACATTAGCGTCTTGTGTAGACACATCCTCTGTGTGTGCGCGCGTGCACATGCGCACACTGATATGAGCTCTTCATCAACTTCAGGGTTTTTTTAATGGCTGAGGAGGAATAATGTAATTAATTTATTTGTAACGTGTAGAAGAGGCCTGGTCTCATCCCCTTAGCAACAGTACTGATTTAAAATGGGATTTCAAGAAAAATTTTACATACTCTTGCACATAACTTTTTCTAGGATACAGATTCAGACAAAAAGTGTGTTGTCCACTCAGGGCTATAAGCAACTTGCCTTGCCTTCCTAATCTTCATATTTATACACTTATATATCTCATGTCTCATAAGAGACAGGAGAAAAAGATGCGAATTAAAGCCCCTTTGGACCTTTATTTTGACCTATAGTTCTTTTCTTGATTTCACACTCTTGAGAAGGAGGAAGTTAATTTGGCAGGTGTTCCCTTGCAGTTAATATGATAAAAACCTAAATCTGGAATATTTTGTTCCCCGAGCTACAAAAAAAAGACTGGTTGGAAGGATGGATCTTAGAACTATGATCCAACAATAATATTCAAAAAATCAAATGTTTGCCTGAGACCAGCTTTGATGCCTTCTTTAGTGATTGTGTTCTGACCCCAAAACTAAAGACGGGTGACTTGCTTTATCGTAGATACTGCTTTTGCAAAAAATAAGGATGATGGAAAATGGTACTACTTCGATGATAGTAGTGTGTCAACTGCATCTGAGGACCAAATAGTGGCAAGTATTTTTTTTTTCCTAATAAGAAATATTAAGGTAACTTTTAGGTTTTCCTGATGTGTGGTTAATTTGTAATTAATGGTTTAACTTTTTAGTAATCTGCCATGTTTTAAGGAATATTATGGATGCAAAACAGTGAGGAAGAATGTTTTGCATTCGAAAACTTGTGTAACTTTATCTCAACTACATAGTTAGTCCAATAAAAAATATCACCCTTAGAAAGCTTTGCATTGCAAAAAGAAAATTCAACAAACTGTAGGTGTATTATTTTTGATACCATATTTAGTCAAATATAAGATGACCCTGAATATGAGAACCCCCAATAATTAGTTTCTAAATTTATTATAATTTTCCTGGTGTAAAATCTAATTATTTCAGGTTTGCCTTGAATTTCTCCCCCTCTCATTGATACAGCAAGAGAAATAAATCTGTGGGGGGGCAGGGCGCCCCCCCCCCCCCCCCCCCCCCCACTCCCTTCTTGCTGTCAGACCCTACTCTCCCTGAGCACATGGAAGTAAGGGGCAAATTTGAAAACACTGACCTTGAAATAAACATTTCTGTAGTAATTTGCATATAGGTAAACTATTAGAGCAGTGGGCAATTATTTGGGCCCATAAGCCACATAGGGAAGTTTGCTGAGCTGTGATGACAGCATGGGGTTGGGGCCCAAGGGGCATGATCTGCTGCCCACACACTCCCATAGTGGGTGCAGATTCCACAGTCAGGAGCCTCATGGTGTCACCACCCCAAGATCCCAGACCTGGCCCTGGACACAGCTTCCTGCCTGCCAGCAGCTCCAGCTTGTCTGCACTGCCATGCACCCTGCCCACATGGCTCCTGGCCAATCTTCATAGAGACCCTGGGATCATGGGGTGGTGACAGCACAGGGCCAAGGCAGAGCTATAGTTTGCTGCCTATGCACCCTGTCCCTGTGCTGTCACTGCTTTGCGATCCTGGAGTCTCCATGGAGAATGGCCAAGAACTGCACAATCAGGGTGCTCATCAGGGAAGGCAGGGAGCTGCAGCCAGGACTAGGGCCAGGTTCTTGGGGCAGTGACAGCCCAGGACTGGGGCCAGGGCAGAGTTGTGATCCACTCCCCCCACGTACCTGCCCATGGAACCAATAACGCCTTTCACAGGGGTATGCAGGCAGCCAAGCATGGCTTTGCCCTGGGCCCCTGCCCTGCATTGTCACTGCCCTGAGATCCCAGGGTCTCCTTGGCCTCACCTGCCTGTCTCACTCTTGGATATCACTCCCCACTGGCCTGCAGGCCCATCCCAGTTGCCAGGCCTAGTGCCCTGCCTGTGTGGGTCTCACCCCCAGTGGTGGGTGCAACTCATATGGGTCAGGGTGCCTAGCCAGTGAGGTTGGATCCAGTGGCTGCAGTAACCGATGGACCTGGGGCTTCTGGAAAATGGAGTTCAGCCACCGTGCCACCCCAGCACCCCATGCCACCCCGGGAACAGTGGCGCCGGCCCATGTTGCCCTGTGGACTGGGTGGAGCCCAGGGACCTGCCATGAGCTGAACAAAATCCTTCAGTGGGCCGGATTCAGCCCATGAGCTGTATTTTTCACACCTTTATATTAGAGGTACCCATGGATTTGGCTTATCCAGAATTGATGCAGTTTACCTTTTCTGAAATGGCTTCAGGTTTTAGCACAGGTACTCCATAAACACTTTTAAGTAGCACTTTGACACCTACTTGTATATAGTACAAATTGTGCGTGATATTAGTCCCAAACCAAAAGGGTGTGATTTACCATATAGTTCACTGGGCTAGGCCCCAGCTGAGTCAACAGCATTTCGAGCCATGGTGACCCCACAGCTCAGCACTGCTCTGTGTGTGTGTGTGTGTGTGTGTGTGTGTGTGTGTGTGTGTGTGTGTACTCCAGATACCCCCACAAAGGATTTAAGTGGTCATTAGTTCCCCACTCATGACTGACAAAAACACCCAGTGGTTCCATGAGTCTTGAGGTTGTCCAGAAATGTATATTCATAGAGTTTACTTAGAGTGCATTGAACATAATATTCTTTCCCCAAAAGCAGCAAGTTGTTTATATGCTACAAGAGCATCTAGTTAATAAGATGGTAAATCTTGAACTCTGATTTTGAACTTTGATATGGCCAATGATTAAAAGGCCCCTCCTCTAGTTATTAAAACATATCCTTTACTGGATGATTTGTTACACTGCTAGTTTTTTCTCAACTATGTCGGCCTCTACCTCATAGAGTGCAGGGCCACACTAATCGTATGCAATAGACTCAGAGAGGGGATGACCAAGAGATTCAGGTGAACTCATTTGATGATGTTTGCCAGAAATTTTTAAGACTGGTGAATAAATAGGAATAATTGAAAATGGGAAAGAAAGGCATAGCTCAACTATGGTAGTGAAGAGGAAGTCAAAATGTATTCAGTGTAGTGGCTCACCATGACCTGAAAGAGTCAGCACTGCAGGGGGACTGTGTACAATGGGTACTACCATATATCGTATTCATATGGTCTGTGCTAACCTAGCCTGGTAGCAGGTTCCCATCAGCATATCAAATGTAACATTTTTGTCACCAAGGAAAAGGTATTGGGGCTGGTTCTGGCCTTCCCAGGGCTGACCTAGTATTGCAGTGCCTCCAGGCCCCAGTGCCTGTTCCCTGCAGAGGGAACACCCACCTTTTTGGCCCTTTAAAAAAAAAAGGGGGGGGGGTTCCCATCAGTATTGTTGCCCAAGATGGGCCATGTGTTTTTATAGTTATGCTCAGTGTTGGCTGCATTTAATCAGATTTATAGTTGCTTTCCATTACTGAGCAAATGCTGCTTTTGGCAACAGTTTAGACACTGTATTTAATGAGATTTCCTTGTGTGTGAATATAAGACAAGTGGCTTTTTCCCCCCATTCTGATGGTGAAGTTTGTCTTGTATTTGAGTAAATATAGTATATTTTAAGCATAAAAGCAGTAATTTGCATGTCATAAAATGTCAGGAAATGTTTTCCTGTAACCCTGGATCATCACATTTTGACTTGCTGTATTTTTTTAAATTGTTTAATCAATAAATCCTAGGCAGATTCTTAGCTTTTGTTGGCAAACAGCTGAGAAAACAATTAAAGAAAAAACAGAGACCTTGAAAAAAAATTAATATTATATTTTATTTAAATATACAGTATAGTCATTAACTTTACCTTAAACATATTTGAACAAGCAGCGTTATGTTACTATGTTGATTAAGATTCTTCCATGCATACCACATCCTCATGCAGTTTAGGCCTATAAATGTGAATATAAGGGTTGAATTTGTGAGACCAGTCATTTTTTGATCAGTAGACTTTTATGGCAGATGCTTTATTATTCTCTTCAGGACCCAAGTGAGAAGATAAATTTGGCTGCAAGAAATAAATCACATACTGAAATATGCAAATATTAATTAATAGGGAATACATTTACAAATACAATTATGCAAGCACATTTGTTTGTATGGCTTCTCAAGTTTTCGTCAATGTAAACCAGTGAGTGCTGACTTTAAAGTACCAGGAATTAGATCTGAGTTGGAGATTATTTTCCCCAGTGTTTTTTCTAAAGTTGAATGTCTCTCGATAATTTGTGTCCTTGTTTGAGCCACAATAATTAAGAATTGCTTGTGGAAATACCAAGCTCATTGCAAGTTGTAAAGACACTGAAGAATGGGAGAGAATCTATGCTGTGCATGCTGAGGGGGGATAGTTTAATGAATTGAATGCATGTTGTTCCTTTCTGCCTAGCCTGGTAATTCTTCATTTGTCATATTAGATTTAATCTTGCAGAGATGCTTTGTTTGCTACTGCCCACCTAGAGAGAATACAGCCTGTAATTAGCAAACAGAAGTGAATCATGACCAACTGCAGTAGTACAGAGCATTTGATGATATGGACAAAAATCAGTTCTTTATGGTGAGGTGGTGTATATATTAACTCTGAACTCCAGATTTCCTGGGGTATGAGTGCATATTATTCCTAAAACATCAACACTTAAATAATAACCAAGGAAAAGTTTATACAAGCTAACATTACTGTTCAACTGCGCCTGATGCTTACTGGGCCCCTAAATCATACCTGCAGAGGCTGATAAAAGCAGTAGTTTTGGAGTATTTACTCTATCTTTAAGACTTGTTATTTTTAATATGCTAGGGATGGATCAGGGCAGTGGACAACTTCTACTTTAGGATAATGGCTCACCCAGGGAGCTTGAGTTCAGTGGGTGAGAATACAGGAACATCTTTTCCTAGGCAAACAGCAGCAAGAATGAGAACTGTGACTGATGCTTGGAAGCGCTACAGTACTGTGAAGTGCCAGAATTTAGTGCAAGGCTTCTATTTAGTATTTACTGTAAGGCTTTTATTGTGATATTATAAGAATCCAACAAGCCATCCCTGAAATAATACTTCTTCATGGTGTATGTTTTGTAACTTTTCCTTATTGCTATAGATATTAACTGCACAGTGAGAGTGCCTTGTTTCATTTCACTTTTGTATTTAAACAGCTTCTTGTACTATGGGTCGAATCATATTGCTTAACATAAGAACTCTTTGTTCAGGTGTTTTTGTTTTACTTTCCTTACCAGCATTGAGCTCTTGATTTATAATCCTTTGGTACACGTGATTTTGACCATTTTTCCCGCAAACTGAATCTTGCCCCTTGCTTCATGTAAGACAGAAGAAATCTAAGCTCAAACATGACACCAGCATGTCATGAGGAAGAGCTATTGAAAGGCTGTGTGCTGTGCATTTCTGTGGAATATATTAGGAAGGAGAAAAATGGATCAATCACATGGTGATAGCTTTCAATTTGGATGATCATAACATATTAAGTTTGCTTTTTTGTTTTGTTTTGTTTGCTTGTTTGACAGTCCAAAGCAGCATATGTGCTCTTCTACCAGAGACAGGACACTATCAGTGGAACTGGCTTTTTCCCTCTTGACCGGGAAACTAAACAAGGTGCTTCAGCTGCCACAGGCATCCCATTAGAGAGTGATGAAGACAGCAATGAAAATGACAATGATATAGAAAATGAAAATTGTATGCATACTAACTAATGGAAGATCTAGAAGCCATAAAAGAGACTTTCTTATTGGAGATACCTATTGAAAAAGTGAAATTGCCCACCAAATTAAAAATAAAATCTGAGATGGGGAGTTTCAGATAACAGAATGTAAATCATTTATTACATTTTAACATGTGAAGTACTTGAAGTGAAACACAATAAAACTTTAACAGAAATTGTCTCTAATACATTTAGTCTTGTATTCACAAGCTATATATAGGAAAACACAAATAAACCCCTTTTAAGTTTTCTGCTGCTGTTCTGATGAATTATGTTTTCTTTTGGTTTTTGGATGTGAGTTAATAACTAAAATGTTAAATTTATGGATTTTGGTCATTTATTTTCTTAGCATTACAAGAATGCTACTGCAGAGTCTAGTTTCTTGGATAGTTTCCTATTCATGTATATTAGACTCACACACACTACTAGTAGTAAATGTGGCAAAAATAGGAGCAGTAGTTTTCTTGGAATACCAAATTTTAAGTTTATCCCTGGAAATTAACATTGAACTTTTTTTTTATTATTATTATTTCCCTTAAATTCAATCATGATAAAAGAAAATAGCTTGGAAAGGTGTTTTAACCTTTTGTGGTATAGTTACACATCCAGAATATTATGTTCATCTTACTGCTGCTGTGGAACAGGTTCTGGATTTCATGCTGCATTAAGAAAAGTTTCTCAATTAAATGTAAGTATCCCTTGTTGCTTGTTGGATCTACTCTGTAGACATTATAAGTCCTGTTACCTTGCTTCTAAGATGTGCATAACTTTAATCTGGTGTCAGTCCAAAATTTAAAATTGTGCTGTAAGTTTCCCCCATTTTTGGTAGTTTGGCAGCTTTCAAACTACTTTGTAATAGGGTCAGATTTAATAGTATTCTGTATCCATAGTAATGACTGTGCATCAGGCTTAAATGAAAGAGGTTTTTCCCATATAACTTGCCTTTAAATTGTTAATGAACAATTGATTTTAAAGGTAGGTCTGTTAATTTTCTTTGTGTGTTCCTGATGGAATTCACCATAGCCTTACAGCTTATCTCAAAAAGTAACGTTATAGGAAAATTGGCATTTGCATGTTCAAGTCAGAACCTGTACAGTATATAAAGCATACAAACCTTGAATTGGATTTTAGTTAACCATGTTCAAGGGTCCAGGATGCCAAAAATAAGTGTGACAGTTTGAAACATTTTTAATTTGCTGCTTTCCCTTTGATCTAGTTGGAAGAATGTATTGTTGATTTGTATACAATACTGCCTTTGATAGGAGCATTTAAGTGCAGGGGCACACTTCACATATCTACTACCTGAAGAATTGCTTTGTGTCCCACTGTTATAAAAGCAAAAAGTATGATGTTCTTCACTTGAACTAATCAAATACAATAGGTTATAAATTGTGTATTGTAAATAAAAGTTCACTCTGTGAGTGCACATTTTGGTAAATTATTTATTTATGTTAGCATTAAAAAGTTTAAAAAAATTGCATTGACCAGGATATAAATGAGGTATGTTGGACATGGCTTTGCTTTATACCTTGATATTAAAGCTGGTGTTTCATCCTGGTATTTTAAAGCTGCTTTGAGTTTTTTTTAAATGTAAACTAACCTCCTGCATGACAGAGGTTAAAATTTTGTCTGCACTTGAGTTCACTTGGGTTTACATTTGAAATGCGCATGTTTATTTATACAGATTTCAATAAAGCTATTCAAGGCCTTATTTAGTCTTTCAGTTTCTTACAAAAATATTTTCCCAAAAGCCTTTATTTAATTAGTAGATCATCAAACTTATATTATCACTGGTTACAAATGGTAATGTAATGACTAAACACAAAAGGTGTATGTTGTTTCAAGAAGATGGGTAGAACTTGTGAATCGTATGACTTTTTTTTTTAGTAGTTTGGATCCAAGGCATTGAAAAGGCAGTAGTAAGATAAATATCAAGTTAATGTCTTAGAACATAAAAGACGAGATTGAATTATCTAACTGTAAAGATTATCCTTACAGATGTAACTATGAATATTAAGTACAGAAAAATGAGATGTATTAAGATTTACATCTGCTTGAGAACTAGAATGTGTGGCTCTGATTCTGAATGTAGGGGAGAGGCTTGTTTCAAAATTGTACTGTTTGGAAACAAAGGTTGTTGTATTTCATATAAATGATACCTAAACAAAATCTTCACTTCTGTACTTCAGGCTTATAAGAAGAACTTAATGTGTGGCCTACTCTTATTCCATCCATTTTTTTCAGCTTGTGGCAAATTTCATCCTCTGAAGAAGAAGAAAATACTGAAGGTATTTTCTGCAACTTTCCCGAATATCACCCAGGATAATTAAAAACAAAAGAAAAAAAACACAGACACACACATGCACATGCACACCTTTACCCCATAACATCAGTAGCTTGAGTGAGTGAAGGGGCTTTCAGGTATAAAATAAAAATTCTAAACACAAACTTCTGTTCTAGTGTTTTAAATATTGCTTTATTCACATGGGTTGACATGATGCCTGATAGTTATTCAGTGCACCAGAGCTTTTTAGTGTGTGTGGCCTTTTGCTTTAGAGATTTATCTGGGCTACATATCGGTGTACTGGCACTGAAAATATTCAGAATGTTTTCAGAGGTGGTAGTGAGAAGGCATGATTTTAGGTCTTGTATGTCTCAAGCCATGACTGACTGGGGTATTACATTTTCCCTTATCTTGGAAGTATATTAGGGAATGCTATTTCCCCTGTAGCAGTACTTAGCTCTCTGCAATTCAGGATCTCTCCTAGAGTTTTAAGCATTGCATGTAAAATGACTTTTTAAGAGCTAAACACAACTTTGGCAAGTAGGCATGGCATGATCATAGAAAAGCCCTGAGGTCTGAATAGAAGGACCACATCCAGGAGCCAGGGCCAGTGAAGACACTGGTCACAGTAAATTTTCAGGTCATACTTTCCATCAATACCAATCCTACAATGATTTAAACACTTAAAATCATACAAATACCATGAGTTAGTAATCCAACAAAATGGAGCGATTTACATTTTAAGTTGAAATTTTGTTATTGAAATAAACCATAGTTATCCACCTCCAGTTGACCATTTTTGGTGTCTATTTCTAATGTAAACACTGTTGTAAATATTAAGTTTGTAATAGTCCTAACATGACTGCTGGTTAGCTGTGTTCTTGTTAGCTGTGATTTTTTTTTTTCATGCTCTTCAGGCAGTATAGTTGCCATCATTTTAAAGGCAGCCTCTTTTGCTTTCAAGGTAAAATTAAGAGAGTCACCATAACTATTGTTCATACTTAAACCTTGATACACAATGGATCTAAGTGGCTAAATTTCACATGCAAAACATGGAGACAGTTGGGTACCTTAGAATAGATACACAACCGCCAGTTTGGAGCAGTGTAGGGAGGGTGCCTGAGCCAGCCATTAGAAAATGCTTTAGTTAAGGGGGTATTTTAAACCTCAGCTTCTCCTAGAGCTTAAGGCCCTAAACCCTCTCTTGGACTTATACCTAAAGTCCTTTTAGGAAAAATAAGTGCCTTTTTTAAAGGACTGCTGAAGGTAGTGGTATTGTCATCCATCTTTTATAGAAAATTCTTCAGTGTTAGAATACTTGGCTTAGTAAAATGTTCTTGACCTGAGGGTTCAAATCCACCTCTTCCACTTCAAAGAAAGTAGCCTCCACTCTAGTAGAGGCAGGCCTGGTGTATTCACCCATCCCTCAGTCCCGGTTCCACGTGGCCTCCACAGCTGGGAGTCCCTTCAGCAAAGGGGGCTCCCAGCCATGGCATCCTGCTTTTTGCCAATACAAGAGGAAACTGTTGGATCTAACGTGTGATTTCACAGTCGCACCTCCTGCCATGCACTTGTGACATGGTAGATGGCATGATTGTGTGGATCATGCATTAGATCCAATTGCACCTTTACCTACATGTGGAGAGAGGACCTTACTGTTGAGCTAAGATTTAATAGCAGAGTGGTAACCTCTACTCTGAGATTACAAAAAAACCTCACTACTTTTACAATAAAAAGTAACAGTAAATGCTACTGAAATACAGTGAACTTACATTAAACCACAATTGGAATTTAACAAGAAGAATATATTTTTAATGCAACATTCCTTATTGCTGTTAAGGTCCTCCAGCCTTTTGTCTGTGGGGGATACAAATGGGAATCTTCGCAATCCTTTTCCAAAGCAAAGACTCTAGGTCTTTTTAAGCTATTTATTATGCAGTATGTTAATGCTGGCACAGCTATTACCAACCAATCTTGCTTGGAGTAGTACCAGAGAATTCTTCTCTTAAATGAGGTCTAACTCATAGTTTAAAGAAAACAAGCATTTATTGGAAGTTGGGGTGAATATTAAATAATTAACTTCCTGTAAATATAATTTGATACGTAATAATTCCTGGAGTGCTGGGGAAATTCCAGAAGTCCTAGGAAGAGTCCTATGTTGTACCACTATTCTAGGCAGATATGATGTAGATTATTAGAGACCCATTAAATTAACTTCAGTTCCAGCCAAAATAATGGAAAAGCTGATCTAGGCTGTAAGAGGAAATTTAAAGAATAGTAATATAATCAATGGTTTCATGGATAATGGATCTTGTCAAACATGTTTGGAGTTTTGATGGTTTAAAAATGGTGATGAAGAAAATTAGAGTACAGAAGTAAAGCTACAAGACTGGAGAAGCTGCATTCCAGTAAGAAACTTAGATCAGTGTAGCTGGTTTAGCAAGAAGCCTGACGAATGGCTTGATTACCCTTTGCAGAAAGAAAATTCTGGGTGCTGATTGCCTCCTAGTGGAGAAAAGCATAAGACCTAAAAGTCAAAACAATACAAATTAACAGAAATAAGAACCTTAGTATGAAAAGGGGTGTGATTTAGCCATTGGAACAAGTAACAAAGGGTAGTTGAGAATTCTACAGTTCTTACTGTTTTTAAATTAAGATGATGTCTTTCCAGAAGATGTTTTAGCCAAACACAAATACTTGGGCTCTAAAGAAATGACTGTGGAATGTTATGGTCTGGGATCACTTCAGACCAAGTGATTAGATGCTCCTTTCTATATTAAAAATCTGTTACTATAAATATTGCAATTGCTTGAGAGGGGAGTGTTCCTTTGTGCCAGATTTGCCTACAGATTTGCCCCATTCACATTTTGATCAAAGTGATGCTATTTACTA